TTCTTGTTACATTTATGGGATCAACTTTGGTTCGGTAAGTTAAAGAAACATCTCAGGAAGTTAACAGATTCAGCCCACAGACAATTTTTACTCCCGACGCAAATAATTTTTGATCGCTTCGTGACTTTACGGGTGGTCTCACAAAAAGTTAATTTTAAAACACCTAAATTTGATAAAACCCTATATGTGACATAAAGAATAAAAAATACTTTTCAATGACACTAAAAAAAAAAAGGGTTGAAATGTAAGCGGTAAGGAAAAAAGAAGAGATGAAAGTGATGTGAAGAAAGGGAGTAATATACGAGAGCCACTCTTAGCAGCTCTGCCTGCTTCAAAACACAGGAGACAGTCAGACGCTGTGAGCGGCAGTGCTACGGGCTGAATCAGTTAAGATACCTCTAGCTAAAAAATTCCTAGATTTTCAATATTCAAGGGTCCCTGCAGCACAGCTATTTTCAACAACATTTCTCGATGTCAAGACACTTGTAGCAGCAATTCGTTTGAGACATCCTTTTGATTTATAAACTCTGAAAATGAAATTGATTTGGAAAATGCATTTCACCATTCCTCTACAGTCTAGAGTAACCAAAATGGATAGTATTTAGTTAGAAGAAAGTTAAAATTATGGTCAAACCTGCTAACGGCCACCTCTTTAAGACAAGCATCTCTGTACAAACGGCCACTACCCAATTCCCCCATCCCCCTCGTTTTTGTTTTTTTGTTCACATTATAATGACACTGTATAAGAATCCATCTGTCTAAGAGCAAGACGTTGTCCACTTTTGTCCTTTACAATGGTTGGCCACTAGTGACAATTTTGAATTGTACCATTAAGTACAGAGGATTAAAATATGACAGACTCTGGGAAGGAGCCTGAAGAGGGGGGGGGGGGGGGGGGGGGGGGGGGGGGGGGAGGAGGAGAGCAGAGATGGACATGTTCCGACTGCAGTGACCCCCAACACAGTGTACAAGTAAGACAAGTAAGACAAGTAAGTAATTAAAATATGACATTCAAACCTGGAAAAAAATGTCACTATATGCAGTTTGGCTTTTTTATTTAAGTATTTTCCTGTGCTTGGCTTTGGGAAGCATACTTATACAAGCTCTCTAGCAAAACAGAATTATTCGAGTGGCGTGACTTCTAATTTAAACCCCATCTCCCATACGACGGAGCTAAAAGGGCAGAAAAAATTAACTCATGAAAAAAAAAACCAATTTGAACAATATACTCCATTTCAACCTCTTCTGTGGCGCCGAATCAGGCTGAAAGGAATATACCATCCCAGAAGAAAGACAGACAAAAGGACTGCGTCGGACACGTCCCAGTAGAAAGACGAACATACTCGATAAAAATGTATCATGACGCGGTGGAATCAGGGGCTGGTCAATTTTTGGGCATGTGGAGTTATTGGTATCATCTTAAAGCTTGTTTATTTGTCTTGCTTTCAATTTAAAAAATTATCCATCTTTCTTCAATAGAAGTCAAGATATAAGCGTTTGAAGGAGGTGGGGTCAACTGGTTTCAGAGCTAAAATTAGAGAGAAAATGGCCGCTTAAGTTTGGTGACTTCCACAGATTAAGAGTCCTTGGAAACTGAAAATTTACATTTTTTTGTTTCTTTGTTCAAAGTTTTACAGTAAAAGCCACACAGCAGCAATGTGTTTTTAAATGGACATTAAATGTGTTGAGTCAAAAAATTATAAAATTCGAAAAAATTTCAAGACGGGAAGAAAAATGCCGTTTCCTTCGATTTCCTTATTGTGACGAGCGCCTGATTTCACCGGTACGTCTCACAAATGACAATGCTGAGCAAGAGGTGAGCCTACCTCCTTTGCGCACAAGTAAAACAGTCTCATCCTTACACCAGTGACACTGGCGCATATACTTCAACAGCCATTCAGTGCTCTAGAGATCTGATGAAAGGCAAAACTGACTAAGAAAATGAAGATGTGGACTAAAAACACAAAAAAAGTAAAATTTTATAAAAATAAAATTCTCTTTTGCTGGAGTGATGGTGTTCACTGAGGTCTACGATTGAAGCGAACAAAATAACACAAAAATTAAACCAACAACAAATGACTCAAAAGCAAACAGTGGCGTATTTGTGACGATCTGGTCAGAGTTGAGAGACAGCAACGTGGGAAGACATGATGGAATGTTCTATCGGTATAATAAGTCAAGAGAACGTACCTCAACGAAAACTCGTCTTCAGCGCATGTAGTCCCACGCTGTTAATTTCTACCTCCCCCAGTACAAGTTACTAGCAAACAAGGGAAGCTGGTGAATTTTTACTTCCACATCCATAGACAGTAGAACATCATCTGTTCTTCTGTAGAAAACTAACTGATCTAAGGGGACGTTTTCTTCCCAAGCTACCCGACACATGTAACTGCCTCTACTCCTCAAAACAACAATTAGAACAGACATGCAGCTATTACCGAATGGCATCATGCAGAAGAGTTAACGCTCAGATGCTACTGGATCGCTAACAACAACAACAACAACTTCCACTTCCTCACACAGATGCACTGCTTTGGGGGGGGGGGGGCTTCAAATATGCTGTAATTTTTGCCTCAGATCAGACACACCGTTACTAAAACTATTGCAAGTCAATTATTTTCATAAACATTCCCAACCTAATTGCAAAACATCAAATTAAAGGAAAAAGCAGGGGGCCGGCCATGCTCCCTTGAAACCCCCTGGAGTGGTCCAAAGTACGGAAAACATCTACACAATTAGGCTTAGCGTAATATAGTCTACATAGAAGAAAAGAGCCATACAATATAGTTGGAATAAAAACCATTTTCCCCAGTGTCACGAGAAATTACCTAGGAAAATAATGAGGGAGGGATTTATAACACGCGGCCCAAACTGTCGTGTGGTGGCTACTCGTTACTCATTGATATTGGGTCAAGTGAGGGACGCTCTCTTGACTTTTGCCGTTTTATCTACGGAACGCAATGACAATGTCCTTTCATGTACTATAATTTCTAGGACTGTCTTACCTCCCAACCCCCCACCCCAGGTACAAAAAAAAACAAAACAAAAAGACCCACTGTCAAATCCAAACATTGAGGACTTGCAATCACACAACACGACTAACTAGAATGAGATAAGATTAAACTTCTGAGCAAGGCAAACAAACTGCTTTTTAAATAACAATATTTTAACTCGATTTTAAAAGAAAATTATAATTGTTTCATTGTAATTCCGTAAGCAAATTCCAAAGAACATGACCTTGGTCACATGGATGTCTCTACTAAAATTGTCTGAGAAAGAAAAAAAAAACACACGGCGAAAAATTCAGTCATTTAGCACCAGAAAAGCGACAAGAAAAACAAGAAAAAGTTCACAAAGCAAAGTAGAATGACCACTGATACTTTCTCAACAACAGCCACTCCACTTCACACAAAGTCATTTTAAATGTAACTCTCTGAGCATGCTGTACAAAAACTGAATTTGTTAAAATATCACAAACACTTCCCTCGTGCGACTATGAGCAGCTGCACGCTGTCGCATCGCCATTCAGCCGCTGCTGATTCAGAAATGAACTTCAAACTTGCACAAACTTTAGCTTCCCCCAGCCAATGTTTGATAGCAAAAGAAGGGCTCAGTGGGAAAAATGGGTGTTATCAAAAACTAGAAATCAGGAAGGTATCCAGTTTAAAAGCTTATAGACTCATAACTTCTTTTCTGTCTGACTGATGGCTAAAACAGCACTTGGACATGGATGGCGAGTGCCTCTAAAACAGCACCTGGACATGGATGGCGGGTGCCTCTATAAATAAATCATTGATGGTCACTGATGGTTTAGTTTATTGTTATTGGGAGTTGAATGGGAAACGAAACAATAGTAATCAACCATCAGTTAAACAGAAATGCAATTAGGAGTGGTAACAACTGTTTTTCCTTGAGCTCCTCAAATGTGAAGCCTGTGGGAGACTCATCAAATAGCCTTGAACAGAAAATGGACTCTAGAGTAATGTCTCTTATGGGGCGGCCATAGTTACTTTGGATCTTCTCTAACCGAGAGCTTCTGTGCACTCGATCGAGCTGTTAACTGATGCTCTATAGTCTGTTAACTGATGCTCTATAGTCTGTTAACTGATGCTCTAGTCTGTTAACTGATGCTCTATAGTCTGTTAACTGATGCTCTATAGTCTGTTAACTGATGCTCTATAGTCTGTTAACTGATGCTCTATAGTCTGTTAACCGATGCTCTATAGTTAGGCACTGATAACTTACACAGGTCGGGATTGACAGATCGTTACCTTAGAATTACTAAGAATTATCAGACATTTTTGGCCATTATGAGTAACTATGACCATGAGGTCTGAAACCAAACGTTCTATCGGCTTTATCTGAATAGTAGATTATTCGGGAGTAGTTATCAAGATATTCAAAGAACTGCATTTGAAAAAGCTTGACCAGTTGTGAAGCCCAAGACTTTTTCTGTCTACTTTCTCCAAACTAGGGACTGAGCTGAGAGAACTTTGTTATTCTCGGGTAGAGAAATGTGTTTGACAACTCCATCATTTGGGGAAACCGATACAACGAAAAATCAAAGAGACATCATTTGGCAAATTGTAAGAGCTATCCTCGGTTTCGAGTTTTCCATATTCATGTTATCTGTGCCCAACTGTGCAAGCAAAAGGGAAGTAGATCGACAGGAGGGGAAAGAGGAACATTGACCGACACCATCCGCATGAAGGGAGTGAACTGATGCTGCAAGAGTTACAAATCTTGACTAACACTATAGAACAGCCAAGTGTTAACAACAGACACCATGCACAGAAAGGATACAAACCAACATTATCCTAGGGAGACTAGCTACAAGTCTTTTTTCTTCCCCTTCTTTCCTTACTTCCTTCCTTCTTTCCTAGCGACTACTAAGTGTCAGATTCTACCACGCAGCATTTTGAAAAAAGATGTATAACCGAGTCTTGTTGTTGTTGTTATCGATCCAGCAACATCTAGGCTCTCGGCCTTCTGTCCAATGCCATGTAGTGATAAGTGCAGGTTTGATGCAGTTGCTGTAATGTTCCGTAGAGTGTGTTGTCGAAGTTAGGTCTCGGAGGGAGAAGGGTAGTTCTGATGACAACCGAGTCTTAAAAGGAGCAGTCGATACGCCAAAGAGCAAAAAATTTTGAAAAGAATTTAAATTCCAATACCTATTTAAGAATACGAAAACAAAGGAATATAATAAATTAACCAACAACAAGGGGATATAACAATAAACGATCAAATAGCACGAATCCCTAAGGTCAAGAAGTGAAGGGGTAGTTGGGGTGCCACCACTGCATCACTCTGATAGCCAGCACATCGTCCAGGACAACCACCACGTCCGACGGCGCGTTGTGGCAGGCGTTGACTCGGGAGTCAAAGTGCAGACGCAGCCGGTGGTAGCGGAAGCCGGAGCTGAGGGTGACGTAAACCTGTTGGGAAGAAAAGATAACACCAAGCTATGAGAACTTTGCTCAACTAGGTCTCAAATTCATTATAGGGGCCTAATAGCTGTTTATGAACAAATCTAAGTCATTCTGATGTCGATTTATTTACACATTTAGTAATATTTATTAACAAAAATATTACAACATAATGCCTATCTGCCAGCCCTTCCTCCACAGGCAGGTCTATTGTACAAGATCCATAATAAACAATCAAATCGACACAAATGAACCAAACAACATTAACAATTCAATACTAGCAGCACTTGGCAAGAACGAGTACTATACATCCGTTATCGGATGTGAAAACCGTACTCCACATCAGATGACCACAAATCAGAGGGGCTGACTGGCTACGAAAAAAAACCCTCCAATGGAAACATGCGCACGGGGACTCAAAATTCACAGATCATATGTGAGGCATCGTGGTGAAATCAGGCGCTCGTCAAAATAATGAAATCGAAGAAACAGGCCTTTTTCTGCCAGTTTGGCAACTTTTATAACATTTTTGTTTTTTGACTCAACACCTTGTATGTCCACATGAAAACATATTTCCATGTGAATTTTTACTGAAAAATGTTGATTTAAGCACCAAAATATGTCATTTTTCAGTTTTCAAGGACTCTCAAGCTATTGAAGTTACCAAGCTTTGGCAGCCATTTTCTTGCTAATTTTACCACTGAAACCAGACAACCCCACATCCTTCAATTGCAAGCATCTTGACTTCATTCAAGAAAGATGGGTATTTTTTTTTCATTGAGAGCAAAGCAAATGAATAAGCTTTCAGATGATACCAATAACTCCTTAGTTTGTTTAGTTTTATTTGAGGTTTTACGGCGCTCGCAACTGCATAAGGTCATACGAGCGCCAGAAGATTAGAGGTGTTACAAGAGAGTAACGAACATAAAAAAGAAGAAGGGGAGATAAGGACGATAGATGTTTGATAAGAAAGAAGAAGCAAACCACACCAGAGCACCCGCCAACCCCCCACACCAATAACTCCACATGCCCCAAAAATTGACGAGCACCTGATTCCACCACGTCGTGACACATATCGTATCTTGTATCAAGACTATTTTCACATAAAAAAGCAATATGACATGCAAAAAGAGATTTAAATACGATATGAACAAATGTGAAAGCAGGAGCATATCACACAATCCAGACAAATTCAAAAATCCGAATTTATCTCTGGAAAATCAGCACCTCTGATAAATAAGTTTTTTAAAAAAATTATAGTAGAGGGTTTTACGGCGCTCGCAACTGCATAAGGTCACATGAGCGCCATGATAAATAAGTGGCAATGGTTACAAGATGTGGGGTGACTGGATATTTGAGCAAAGTACTTTAACTAAAGGTAAAAAAAACAGCACGACTACATAGCCAATCAGCAATAAAGCATGAGTATGTAGCTTACTTTAACACTTTACCGTCACATCTCGCTAACCGGCGATGTTTTACCACCCAGTTTCTTTGGATTTTCCCCAAAATGCCTTTGCCTTTGATGACAAGGGGTTTTACTGTATGAACCTCGTGATGGCAAAGTGTTAACATATAATTAATTATAAAATGTACCGCGAAGCCTCTCAAATTTGACAAATAAAGTGATAATTTCTATCTTCTTGGCTTTTCTTTCCTTCATTCTACAAACAACATAATTTCATTATGAATTTCCAGGTCAAGTCAAGTAAGAAATACAGTCAAAACTTAAACAGTTTGAGATGACCACCCATTGTCAAGAAGCAAATTGATCAACTAATGATAGGTGAATCTCTTGGACAGTGTTATTATAATACAGGAAAAAAAAAACCCATCAAAGGGAGGAAGTGGAAAGTGGTCTTTTGTACAGGTGATTGTCTTGGACAGGTGGTTGTCAAAGCAGGTTCGTTCAACTAAGCTTTAAAACCATAGGTAAAAAAAGGAATGTACAAGGCTAGAGCACTGATTGACAATTAAGCATGAGGAGTATGTAGCGTACTTTATAGTTATAAAGTGTACCACTAATCCTCTAACAAAATCGATGGGTAAAGTGATACTTTCTATCTTCTTTCCTGTTCTTCTTTCATTCTACAAATAACGGAATTTGTAACATGAATTGTCATCTAAAGTACCGTAACCTAAGAAATGTATATTGCGTGCCCTTTAGATACAGACCTGATTAAGTAAAAGTCCCATGACGGAAGCAACGGAGGAAAAATGGCAGCAGGTCACTTGTAGGACAGAGCATCCTTCGTCCGGGTGATAAAATAAATCGTCATAACCTGCAAACAAAACAAGGGGAGGGGGGGGGGGTAGAAGAAGGAAAAGAGGAAAAGAGATAAAGAGATCAGAAAAAAGTTCATTCAAATACACAAAATACATAAAGCAAGTACAGGCAAAGCTTCAAAATGTGATGTGGAAAAGCATGGCTGACAACTTTTCAAAACCAAAACTCCGAATCTACCCATGCGGCTGCTGTCAAGATGGTAGGTATAGGTCAATTAACTCCTCTTCAAACCTCTTACATACATTTTTTTGTACTCGATAAATTTAAGCTATTCAAATCAGTCTTGCGAAAACATGAGAAATGTTTAGCAGAGTTCTCTCCCCCTGACTTATGCAGGGACGCCAAATGATTTTTTTTTTTAAAACCCCTGAAAATGAGCGGAGCATCACATCTCACCTAAACCGAACCTTGTAAAGCTTTTAAATGAACAAACAAAAACAAAAACATTTTCTCTCTTACCTCTCCCCCTTTCCTTTGCAATTCCAAAGGATGAAAAAAAAAAAACACGACGGAAAAACGCGGACATTTGGCATCCCTGCTTAAGAGTTGACATAATAGTCTTGAAAGTTAATTTTTCTTCAACATTAGCAAGTCTATGAGAAGCAATACTAGAAGACAGAGAATACATAAAGACCTGTACTGTAAAGGAAAAAAAAAATGCAAGAAATGTAAAATTAAGAATATTCTTGTTCTAGAATCGTTTTCATCGTGAAATAAAGGATAGCATTCGTATGAAAATAGGCTATATAGATCTATATATATACAGTGGAGTCCGCTCAAACTGAAATCTGCAGGACCTCCAATTTTCTTAAGTTTCTCCAGGTTTTCAGTTTAGAGAGGTTGCTCAAGTAGAAGGAGAAAAACTGAGGGTCTTATTTCCTTTCTGTTTACTGCCGATTTCCGATTGACCGTGTCTGCCTTCAGCAGACTCCAAGGTATATATGTGAGGCAGCGTGGTGGAATCAGGCTCTCGTCAAAATAATCAAAGTGAAGAAACTTGCATTTTTCCGCATGTTTGTGATTTTTTCTCGAATTTTTGTTTTTTGGCTCTACACCTTTCATGCCCATAACCAAACTCATTTCTGTGTGAATTTTTCTGAAAAACGTAGATTAAAGGCACAAAAAATGTAAACATTCTGTTACCACGGACTCTTAAGCTAAGTAAATAACTAATCTTTGGCGGCCATTTTCTCACTAATTTTACCTCTGAAAACAGGTGACCCCCACCTCCTTCTTTCGCAAATATTACCTCGACTTGTATTCAAGATAAATGGCTATTTTTTTCATCCAATTAAAGACAAGTGAACAAGCTTTAAGATGGTACCAATAGCTCTACATGCCCAAAAATTGACGAGAGCCTGATTCCACCACGCTGCCTCACATATGTAAAGCCCAGATGCACTGTCTTAAGAACAGCCTACAGCTGACTTTTCCAGAGTCCCAGCACGGGCAAGCAGAAGCAGATGAAGAAGCTTACATAAACACCATGTCACATCATCACTCACCACCACCATCGTATCTAAAACCATCGTTGCTCTCAGATTCTTAACATACAGATATTTAATTCTTGAATCTGTATCTGTAATAGTTACATATTATAATACTTATGCACGTAATACACTATTGGACACTATCATACCCACCTTTTTCTGCTAATCAGATGCTGTCAATCTCATAGAAATGGCCAAGGGACAACAAAAAATAATTTTTTTTAAAAAGAAGAAGAAGAAGAAGAAGAAGAAGAAGAAGAAGAAGAAGAAGAAGAAGAAACAGAAGATGATGAAGCTTACCGTTATAAACATCCTCTTTGCTGACTGGACGACTGCTGAGGGCCTGTAGAGAAGGTTTCTGGAACTTGAAGCAAAATTGCCACCCTTTGGTGGCCGGCTGGTGCCAGGCCAGGAGACAGCGGTGACCTGTGAGGGGAAAGATACCGAAAACCGTGTACCCAGATTTTTTAAATCATTTGTTTATTCCAACCATTGAAATTTAATCTTTTAAATTTTTTTTAAAACATGCAACTAAAAACACAGAAACATTGGCATGTCACTCACATATACCAGGGATTTTTTACACTTTTCTCATCTCGGAAACACTACAATCAAGTGAAAGCAGCTTCATTTGCATACTCAAGGCGGTGCAAGGAGTGGAAATTTTTCTAAAGTGTGTGCGGGGAGCCTTACAGGGAAAAAATTTGTTTGCAAGGCTGGCTGCCAGAAATGTTGTCAAGCGCCATAATTTATTGGAGAAGGGTTTTTAAAAAAAATTGTTTTGTGTTATGCATATCCACTGCTATGTGTACAACTCCACTATATGCCACTTGAAAAGTGACGTATGACCGCATCTTACACTGAGTAGTCGATATGGTACAAACTCAAGAGATTTTGTGTGATTCCACCACAGAGGAAGATCGATGTTCAATGATGGATTATTTGTCTCCCTATCTTTTTTCGGAAACTTAAACACTAAAAGCCCAGTGGTCAAGTCCTGTTGGAAATACAGTTGAGACAATCACTTGTACAAATAGCCACTTCCCATCTCCTCCCTTCTGTATTTTTTACATTTTAATAACTGTGATATCCACCCATCTAAGACAGTCACTTTTCTCCTCATCCAGGGCTGGCCACCTCAGACAGTTTCAACTGCAATTAATGCTGGGATCTGAAGCAATATTACGAGTAAAAATCAGATTTCTCAAGGTAACATTTATGATGTGAGATTCGTCCTCAGAAATATTAGGTTTCCTTTAAGGCAAATTTCACGGGGTATACAATAAGGTACAAAAGATTAGAAAGAAAATGTGCAAAAAAAAAATGTATTAGCTGACGTTATTTCTGCTAAACTCAGAGACGATCATCATTGCTTTATTTTTGCAAAGCAAATCTGTGACATCATTATTTGCCTGCAAACCTCTGTTTCGGGAAAGATGACACAAAACACTGTAAAAGAATAATTTGCAGTGTCAGCCTCACATTTGTAAATGGTTCAAATATCACTCAGTTGAACCTACTCTTACCAGCCACTTGACTAAGACAATCACCTGTACAAATGACCACTTCCCCCTCACCCCTCCCCGTTTGGGTATTTTCATATAATGACACTGCCCAAGATGTTCACCTGTCTACGACACCTACACTTCTCCTCAACAAATGGTGGCCATCTTGAACAATTTTGACAGTACCTTTGAGATCATGTGGCTCATCCTCCATGGGACCCTTGCTGGCCACACGGGCCGCCAGAGGAGGATAGATGCGGAACATTGTGCGAATCACCCGAGCCCGCAAACCGTGGAGTTTCTCCATGGCCGACGGCCTCAGGAACTCTGGGAGAGGATCTGCACGACCTGCATAATATCTGGAGAATAAAGATAAAACAATACTGTTGTATAAAACAATTAATATTATCCACTACGCCTTAAGATGGAACCCATAAGGGAAGAGAAAGAGGGGAAGGCCAATAAGTACTCGGAGGAGGGACTCGGATTCCGCCCTAAAGGGAGATGGGATACAGCTGGACAGGGAAGGAGACTACTTTACTTTACTTTTCTGATCCAGCGGCGAGGGAAGGAGACAAAGAACAGGACAGGAGAGGTACACGGAGAGCTCTTGTTTGTGGTCTATAGACTCCGCCGGCGCGGGATGAGAAAGTCTGGTGATGATGATGATTATGATGAATATTGTAGAACCTTGTCTCTGACCATTTGACCTATGATAGCCCGAGTAGGTGGCTCCATCTTGTCACACATACTCTCTGAGTTCAGGAAGACTTCATCAATGCACAGTGATGATTATGTCTTTTTTAATTAATATTTAGTAGAGGTTTTACGGCACACTCAACCGCATAAGGTCATAGGAGCTCCAAGGGGATGATGTCAACAGAGAAGTCTTTACAGGGAATCAGGCTTACTCTGCTCACCTCTCTAGCTTCAACAGCACAAAGTCTGTTTCGACTTTCAAGGCACCCCGGAAATAGCTGGTCACAAGAGTGTGATAAACATACAAAAGAAGTAGAGGAAAAAATGACGATAGTAAGGATTAAGAAAGAAAAAGCAGCAGTTCCCTGTTGTAGATAAGGCACAGTTATGAGCGTGACATTGCTGAATCAGCCCATTTACAATTCTACTGTGCATGAACGAGAAATGTCCCCCCTTTGGGAATGGCCTAAAGACACTTCAGTCAGAGGCACTACCCCGGGGGGTTGATTAAGTCTGGTAACTAATTGTTTGGTAAAAGTTCTATGGCGCTCGCAATGGCATAAGGTCATATGAGAATGTGAGACACAGGCTGGTTGCTTCACATTAGTTCACAGCACAGAAGCAACAAAAGATATGTGAGGCAGCGTGGTGGAATCAGGCTCTCTTCAATTTTGGGGCATGTAGAGTTATTGGTATAATCTTAAAGCTTGTTCACTTGTCTTTATGAGTGTGAAAAAAATATCCATTTATCTTGAATACAAGTCGAGATATTTGCAAATAAGGGAGGTGGGGGTCACCTGTTTTCAGAGGTAAAATTAGTGAGAAAATGGTCGCCAAAGATTAGTTATTTCCTTAGCTTAAGAGTCCATGGTAACTGAAAATTTACATTTTTGTGCCTTTAATCAACGGTTTTCAGAAAAAATCCACACAAAAATGAGTTTTTTAATGGGCATGAAAGGTGTTGCGTCAAAAAACAAAAATGTGATAAAAATTCACAAACCTGCGAAAAAATGCAAGTTTCTTCACTTTGATTATTTTTTACGAGAGCCTGATTCCACCACGCTGCCTCACATATATTGCAAACTTAAAATATTGTGCTCACAGATACTGAAGTAAAGAGAAATATAACAAAAACTCCCATATCAACTGCTTTCATAATATGGTCATATCTTTAGTTTTCTTCATCTTGCTAAAGCGGAAGATGCTTTCCTCTATCTCATGCCAGGGCTTGATGATGGGATGAAGCTGACTGAGGCAATGAATAATTTTCAGGCTTGCCAACTTTTTGAAAACCCTATCAGGGACCTCAAATACTAAGACATCAAGTCACGCAATAACAAACAAAATCACATCAAGGGGGACTCGTTTTGGTGTTGTGTAGAAGTAGTGTATCTCATAAGGCTCTTAGGTTCCTGATTGCCGAGTCCGAGACAGTCTCGGGAAATTCGGGACAGTTGGCGAGACTGAATCTGGGGCGTGTCACGGAAGATTCAACAACTAGCAATCTCAAACAAAAAAAGAAAAACTATGAAATATCCTTGTCACCCCCATGAACATTCAAAATATCTTGGCAGTTAAAAGGGAAAAAATAGCAGATTTGGGGTACCTGGGCGCCCAGGCAAAATTTTCAAGGAATCCCTACTGAAAAACAAAAAAATTCCCTGGTCAATCAGAAAAATAAACGGTTCAACTGAAAACTGTCTGCGGCTACCTGAAGGCAAGGTGGTTAATATTCTGCATGGAAAAACAGCCATGTATATACGAGTAAAATCAGACGCAACGTGGACTGAAGGGACCACAGGTAATTACTTCTATAAAATTAAGTTCTGGCAAGGAGGAGAGATGAAGAAAAAAAAGAAGAAGAAGAAAAAGAAGAAATATAAAAGATACAAAAAGAACAAAAAGAAAAGGGAGAAAATGAAAAAAAAAATTTTTTTAATAGTAGACAGTTTTCTTTACCCATCCCCTTCTGTTTACCAAAAGTAATTTGAGCATACTGTTTTTCTACAGCTTTCCATTCTATACGTCCTGCTGTTAAGGCATGGGTGGATGGACGGAGGGCCCAGCAACAATGACGAACCTGTGGTACAGTTTCCTCCAGAAGCCAGCCAGCTGAGTGACTGAGTGAGAAGCCTTGCACAGTCCCGAGAACCGCCCAATGTCTTCCGGGTCTATGTAGGAGGACAAAATGTACCAAAAATCCAGTGGGTAGACATATCCAGTCTTGTCTTCTTCTTTCTTGACTTTCTTCTTCTTTCCTTCGGGTTTCTCTGTTGAAGAAATAGGAGCAAACCTTATCACTGATCAATATGTACAGCAGAGTTCTTACAAATAACTTTTGTTCGATCGGAACACCATGATCAAATTCCAAACAGGAGACCACACAAATGACCAAAACGAAACAACCTAACCAGCGCACTCTTATCCCTTCCCCTGTACAGTCAGCCATGGATAACTCAAACATGTCGTGGCCTGCAGAAGTTCAAGACTGAGTGGGAGGAGCAGAAGGATATGGAATCAACCATTGCTTGGAACCGTCAGCATCTACACACTTCGAGATGTGCTTCTTCAGGGGACGGAGCGCTAATGGGAATGCCTCTTGTGCAGTGATGTCGGTCCTTCACACAATGACAATGACACAATGACAATGTCGTGGACTGATAAATGTGTTCGACACGTCCATAATTCGGGTTACCTGATAACGAAAGATTAAGGAGACACGAGTCGGGGAACGACAAATCGTAGGAGCTGTCCGTAATTTCAATTTTTCCGTGTTCGGGCTATTTGTTCCCAGTTGTGCATACATACATTCACGTCCAGACACAAAAGAAGAGATCCCCTGTCATCATCATTATTGCCTTTCTCACCTTGGGGCAGGATATAGGCCACGAACAAACACGGCATGTTTGTTCGCGTTTCTATAACTTTCCTTTTTTACTGGGTCAGGCAGTTGGCCCTCCGCAAACTGTCACTTTTCAGGTGGCCAGACCTATGCACCTTTAGTCGCCTCTTACGACACGCAGTATCACGGCAGGTGTATTCTTTACTCCCCCATAGTAAAACTATGGGGCCTCCCACCTGCAGGGGCGATCCCCTGTCCTTACACTGAGAAAAACATTACAGGAAGGGCAAGAAACTCCCACATATTGAGTACTTCTATACCATGCTCCTGGGATATTGTGAAACTGACTGAAAAATTGACAAAGTTGCATTGCATTTCCAAACAAAAAAGACAGTTCATAGACAATTAATATGGGGTTAAACAGAAACTGAACTTTGAGGATAATAATTGTTCCTCTAATCTTTTTTTTTTTTTCGGGGGGGGGGGGGGGGGGGGGGCTTGAAGTAAAAAACAGAAACATCTGGATTTTGTTGATATAATTCTATTCTCTATGAAAGAATCCCCCAGGTAGCCTTTGTTTCAGCTTTTAAAGTTATAACAACAAATAAATGAATTTTTTTTCAAAAGAAAGAAAAACAGCATTGCTGCAACTGCACTCTGTAAAACAATTGAACAATCGAAACATATGACCAGCCCTGAAAAAAAACCACAAACATTTTTTTAAATAACCAACCCCATCCCCTTCCCCAAATGGTTTATAACGTACTGTTGGCAATGGCTACATCCTCTTCCTCTTCTCCCCCTTGAGCTTGGTCATCAATAACAAAGTCTTCCAGCTCTTTTTCAAACCAGTTCAGCTCCTCTTCCTCCTTTTCCACAAACTTTTGTCCACTTGAAGCCTTTGGTAGTGCTGTGAATAAGACAATGAAATTGTAATTTTTTCATAATACGGAATGTTTGCCTCTCTTAAAAATAATATGGATGCCAGCAATTGACAAAGTCAAATGTGAGACAGTGTGGTGGAATCAGGCTCTCGTCAAAATAATCAAAGTGAAGAAACTGGCATTTTTCCGCAGGTTTGTGAATTTTTATCAAATTTTAGTTTTTTGGCTCAACACCTTTCATGCCCATTTAAAAACTCATTTTTGAGTGGATTTTTCTCAAAAACGTTGATTCAAGGCACAAAAAAATAAATTTTCAGTTACTATGGACTCTTAAGCTAAGGAAATAACTAATCTTTGGCGGCCATTTTCTCTCTAATTTTACCTCTGAAAACAGGTGACCCCCACCTTTTTTCGCAAATATCTTGACTTGTTTTCAAGATAAATGGATATTTTTTTCATCCAAATAAAGACAAGTAAACAAGCTTTAAGATGATACCAATAACTCTACATGTCCAAAAATTGACGAGAGCCTGCCACCACGCTGACTCACAAATTGTAATTTTTCATAATACGGAATGTTTACCTCTCTTAAAAATAATATGGATGTCAGCAATTGACGTCAAATTGTAGTTTCACTCAAGAGGATGACAGACACATTTTGCCATGAAAAAATTCTGAAAATAGTAACAACGTTTCAAAAAATTTACTAAGAGGTAAACGCATACCACACCTACCAGACAGCTGATGCAGGCAAAAAATATTTTACCTTTTTTTTTTCTTTTCAGAATTTCTGTCATCAAAACTCAAACAACCTTTCTTATTTGGCATTAATATCCTGATACTCCATTTTTTCAATTCTTTTCCTTGTATACAAATCAAGATACAACAAGATAGTATATGTAATAGGAAGGTGATTACGGTAAAGAAGCATTATAATAGTGTTTGAGAATGAACCAAAAGAAAGAAAAAAGAAATACATTTCAGCAAAGAAAACCTGACATAGTCTCATTTAAATTAATATCTCGGTCATTTCCAAACCAGTCATTGTACTAACAACAGAAATCATGTTCTGCAAAACCCCACAGTTATTAGTACCCATCATTTTGTTACATATGTGAGGCGTGCTGACAAAATGAGTTACTTCTCACAATCCACAAATGGAGATATTAGCCCAAAATCAACACCAGGCCAAATTTGTAGATTTTCTATTGATGTCATATTCTTTAAGTAAAGCATGCCTTATATTATTTCATAGTTATAAATTGTAAAAACTTCACCTATAAGCGTGATGTAGCGATTTCCATAGGGCTCGAATCCGAGAAGTAACTCATTTAGTCAGCACCCTTCACATATTTCTCTTTGGACCTCAGAATAGGTCGTAGGTGGTTGGTGTATGGTCTGGTGTGGCTTGCTCCTTCTTTCCAATCAAACATCTATCATCTTTATTTGTCCAAGTTCTCTTATTTTTGTAATTTGTATCTCTAGTTAATCTAGATGAAACACCTAGAATCTTCAACACTTTTATATATATAAACACTTTTACTAAAAGTAAATAAAAATATGGCCGCTTATTGTAGTTCAGCATATATGGGGTCAAGGAAATACAGAGCCCTTCACTTTCTTTTTCATCATATAGCATGCCCACTTGAGGAACCTCTCGCTAGATCAAGATGTGTAAAATGACACTGTAATCTCGTTGTTTTGATCGAGTCTTCAAAAATACAACAAGATGGCTTAGTGGAGAAAAAGGGTGTCAAGCAGCAAAAAGGGGGCAACTTCCATTTTTGTAAAAACTGTTCGTCTACAAATCACAACTCCATTTGTCTCACAATAACTGGGCTTTTGCCGGGAGCTACTCACCAGCTGGTGCTGTTGCACTGACCACAGACTTCTTGACCCGAGAACATGACTGGGGCATGGAACAATCTGCAAAATCCTGCAGTTTGAGATCTGGAAAAAAGGTTAAAAATGTATGACATGAACTGACTAAAATTCACCCTTTTCTTTTCACACAACTTGCAGATTCCAAGAAAAATTAGTTTGCGTCCTTTCTACGTTTAATAGCATATATCATGTGCCATGCAGAGATCTATGGTTTTTACTTGTATGAGTTTCTGTAACAGGTTCTTTTTACGAGAAAGGTTGTTAGCCTTGTGACTCAACCCCCGACCTGGAGGCAGGATGACTCTGTTTCAGGAGTCACTACCTGGTTCGCCAGGCCATTTAGTTGCCTCGTACGACACGCTAGCCGCTAGCACCACATCAGTCCTATTCTTCTCAGGACTGCAGACTGCAGGGCAGAGATTTAGATGTTACATCTGATAAAATTAAAAGTAAAGCAAGTTGCATCTCTTTCTGGGTCTGAAGGAATTTAAACGTCACACAGAGTTACAGTGACAGTAGATCTAGATCTAGATCTAGATCTAGAATCTAAAGCAGAGAACCGAGAGTTAGATCTAGAATTGCATAGAAGAACGAGCCGGTAAAACCAAAACATAAACTATAAAAACATTCATCACAAACAGTCAAACAGGCTACTTTCAGACCTGACGTTTGAAGTAGTCCCTGCCGCTTTCTCCCCTTCCTGCCGTCCTTCGGCATTTCGTCCTCACTTTCACTAGAATAATCCCAGTCTTCATCTGTTGAGGCCATCTTTGCAACTAAAGGATGACAAATATGTTGCCGCAGGTAAAGTGGTGCAATACATGGGCGGCGCCATCTTGGTAGTCTACGATACAACGACCGAGAGCGAAGCCAGGTCGTCGGCAAAGTGGTATTTCGACGAGTTCGTTGTATATCCAGTGGGCATGTCACAAGTTTCAGATTTTACCAATAAATTAATACTTCCACATAAAACAGGCTATGCTTTTCTTGAGAACTTGGCTGAAACGTGTGTAGTGCAAAGGTAGGCTACGCTTGAATCTTAGAACAGTGGTCTCTCACAGCAATTATAATCATTTAAAGACCAAAAGGCGACTGCTGACTAGCCTAGCAAAAGTTTGCCTTTTTGTTATAAATTAAGATTTATAATTTTTGTTGTTGATTTATAAACACAAACAGATCTGTATTTACAGGAAAGTAAAATATTTCAGGTAAATTATTTAAAGGTAGGCTTTTGTTTCTGTTGTTCTACCGGTGCATGTTTTAGTAAATGAAGGGCTATTTTTTCCCCAATTTTCAAAGATAAGATTATGCGTGCGTTTTGGGAGGATTTTTTGTGTGCACGCGGGTGTGTGTGTGTGAGTGTGTGTGTTTGTGTGTGTGTGTGTGTGTGTGTGTGTGTGTGCGTGTGTGCGCGCACGTGCTTGTGTGTGTGTGAGTGTGCATGTGTGTGTGCACGCGCACGTGTGTGTGTGTGTGTG